TAATAAAGATAAAAAGAAGCAACGAAAGTGTACTCTGACATATGACTTAATCATATACCACTTCGCATGGTGAATTACAGAACTTTTCTACTATTTTCCTTTTCTTATATAGAAATCAGAATAATGATGTCTAACAAAGAAAAAGGGCACAGCCAAACTCATAGAAGAAATTACTTACCCCATGTCAATGCGCTGATGTATACGACAGTATGTCTCGAAGATAAATAGGCGAGCATTTTCAAGGAACTCATCCCTCAGTGGTACAGTAGAGAAATTCCCTTCTTCTGCTCGTTTTCCAAGGAAAGGATCATTCAAAATTACCTACATTGCCAGACAACCCACATTTTCAAATCAATAGTCATGGGCCTAGATGACAGAGATAATGCAAATCAAGTTTTCAAGCAGGAATTGAGATATAGCAGAAGGCAAATTTACAATGAAATGGTCAGCTCAGTTACGCAAGGGTCGAAAAAAGTGGAATTTGAATTCTGAAACATGTCAAGGGTTATCAGGCACTTACTTCTTCACACTCCCTCATCTTCTTTTGTGCACCATCAAAGTCATAATTAACATAAACGCATGTCAAAAACTCGGTGATGGGATCTTTATAAGAATGTTGTTCCTGTTGAATAACCTTTATAAAATCCTTGAACTGAGGTCTCCTCCTCTTATTGACAATGAATGCAGTGGCTAAGTAACGCACAAGATGGGGAGCATTGGTTTGAATGGCATTCAGATACCTGTAAAAAAATCAAACATTTCTATCAGGAAATAAGTATAAAATACCAAGTCACTTGGTATTCACTAGAACTCAATTTTCCATAGGGAATGTCTATGTTTCATAGCATGAAGCTCAAAAGGATATCCATACTGTCTAATACAATGATAAAACCACTAACTTAATGGCATCTCAACTATGTAAGCTACTAGGATTGTACATTAATAAGCATATTCTTTTTCCTAACATTTCAAGAATGCATTATAAAATGTATCCTGTTCAGAACAATATGCTGACACCATCCACATGGTAGAGGCAAACAATTATTAATGTTACGAGAACAAAAGCACGGGGTGTCACATTTACAGCTCAATACCAGAGCAGAAGTAGCAGTCCCGTTAGTGTCAAATGAATGATCAAGGGTATAAATACATCAATTAGAACCAAAGATGATTCGAAAGTTCTAAGCTTTTAGGAGTAGACGGTGATAAGAAAAGAGATGCGCATGAATTCCGGGTTGTTTTAGCAATTGGTAAAGCAAGAGGTAAATGTAGAGTGAAACCAAAACAGTCAAATCAGTAAGGGCAGATGACATACTTGTCCTGATTAAACAGGTCAATGATTTGTGTTCTCCCGTTATCATGGTTGAAAAATATGAAGAGACTCCAATGCATCAACCATATTCGATTTTGCACTTGATTCATAGGTGAACTGAAACTCTGCAACAGAAATCATCCACCTTTATAATGGAACTCAAAAGAAAAAAATAATACACCTTTAAATAAACAAGTCGATAAGTGAAAAAAATAACAAACCCTTGAATCAATGATTTCTTTCAAGCGGTTAAGCTCTTCAAGGGCAATATCCCAGTTCTGCATCAATATCTCAGCCGCCAGCTTTCCCCACAATGCACTCAGACTCCTGTCACTGTTTGTGCACAAAGCCCTGTACTGATATAGATAATCAGCAGCACCAGAGTAGTTACCACATTCAAACTGAAATTTTGCATACTGATATAACGCCTCGATCTGTTGTGGACCAATCTGTTCATACAACCATGCCATGAGAGTTAAAACTAATGCCAAACCAAAAGAACAAAAAGCCAAAAAGAAAACACAAACCAAATCTCTTTGTCCAATAAAAGTAATGTTAACCACACAAAAATTAGACCTTTTTACATTTAAATACGCAATCTTTTCTAAGATAACATCCGCAAATACTTGCAATATTAAGCTGCATATGCTATTACCCATATCAAATTGGTTGCTTCTACTCCTGGGTTTTAAAAGTTAATAGGAAAAAAGAAATTGGGGCAACCTGGTAACGGTCACTAAGCATCTGGAGATTGTATTGCTTGTCAGCCCTCAATTCCTGAACCGCGGCGGCATTCTGCAAGAAATTAACAAGGGGCGCAGCCGATTCCTCCAGAGCCTTGAGGCGAGCCACGACCTCTACCCTCCTATCCACCATATCAAAACATCCACAGAGACAAATTGTCAAACACCTAATGGGAGCGCACATACAAACACACACAGACCTATATATACAAAAATTCCCACAAACAAACACATACAAATACATAATGGGTGTGTATATATTTCACCTTGGGGAACATCTTCCGTGTGATAGAGGGACTTGTAGATGTCCATGGCGTAGTCGACCATGTTGGTCTTGTTAAGGAGCTCGATCTTGGCCTTGAGGATCTGCTCATCTGGGTACATCTGACGCTCCTGCAGGAACTCGAGGAGGGGAAAAACCAGATGCCGGTCGAGGTTGGGCGCAATGCGCGGAGTTAGGTCGTACTCCGCCATGGTCAGTGAGCGAGCTCCTGGTTTTTGCGGCAACAGCGGAGACGGAGAGCGTCGAAGAGAAACAAGTAGAAGGAGAAGGGTTTTGATATTGTAGGTTTAGCCTGTCTTTTTTTTCCTTTTGTTGTAGCAACTTGTGCTTTTCTTTTGAGAAGAGGTGGGCCGATGCCCACTTACTAAGACCCGTCGGCCCCAAAACCATTCCTTCCCCGAATGCAATTTACATACATCTCAACCATATTTACTTATATGTAATCGGAATTGAATAAGGTCTTAAACTTTATCTAGAAGTGATTTTCTCACATCGTTTTTAGCTTTTTACACACTTTTTTTTAATTTATGATTATCGAATTGAATAAATCAAACTAAATTAATACGACCAAGATTAAACAGGGGGATGTGTAGGGGGATAAAATAAATGTGTGGATTCTAATTGCTAGTGTAGGATTAGGTGGGGATGGTTCACTACATTCAACTAATGTTATATTAAAAAATCGATGTCTAACTTGCATATTTTTGCTCATGTAAAAATAGATAATTGATCAATCACGAACCAAGATTGACAAACCCAAAAAAGCCAATCCAACGCCAATAAAGTTTCTCATCTATCCCAAGTCAGTGCCCAACGAATTGACAAAATAATATCTTGGAGCTACGAAAAGGAGAATGACTTTCATAAATGAGTTCACCGTTACGTAGCGTTGTGATTTAAAATATCATGTCATGTGAAGAGAAACTTACATCCAACTTGAAATTATTGGAGGAATGTCATAATAGCAATAAACCTGTTTCATACAAGAGTTTCAAAACCTTAATTGAAAATGCAATTGCATTTGCACCTTAACTTTTAATTATACCAACTACATCTAATCTAGTGATATAAGTTCGAATTATTCTTTTCCCATTGCTTACAAAAACCATATGACATGGAGTATACAAAAGACATCCAAAGGATACCCAAAGTAGACAAAGAATTGGACTTGGAATTAATCCTTTTTCCTTTCTTTGTAAAATGAAAGAGAATCAAACCCTAAACCCAACATTAATCTTTAACCCATGGGTAATATGAAAAAGTATGAACAAACTTTCAAAGTTACAGTCTCCTCATTTACTACCTTTTCTTTTCCTTATTTATTTGGACGATTAAGAAAATTGTAAGGAGTTATTTCTACTTACAAACGAATTAAATTATAAGATGTGAATTGTTCATTTTCAAAATTCAAAACTAAGACATCTCACTTACATGTAAAGAGAAATAATATTAAATCATAATACTAAATGGCCCTAAATATAACATTTATACTCTCAACAATGCACCCAATTAGTGTCCGAAATGAGATTGTAAAGATAAAAGAGTTTTACATCGATGAAAGGAGAATCATTGTAAGGGTTTATAAGAGGTTTGGCTACTTCCTATATTACCAATTGGTTTTAAGGTAGAACCTCAACTTTTTTATAATATTAGAGCAGGTTGCTCCATGTGTGAAGTCCAATAACCACATGTGCTCCACATCACCCTATTTGTGTTGTCCATGTGTCAGACTTGAAAATTTAAATTTGCCACATGTGAGGGGACGTGTGAGAAAATGAAGACAAAGTTCCACATCGGTGAGAGACCAAACCATGTAAGAGTTTGAGAGGCCAAACCATGCAAAGGCTTGAGGGACCAAACCATACAAAGGCTTATAAGCCATGCATGATTTGAGGAATCAAATCATACAAGGACTTGTATAAGATATTAGACTACTCCCAATATTACGCTTTCAGAATTGGCTATTCTCTGGTAAATATTTAAAGTTGTAAACACACCAACATCCAAAATAATTATTGTGATAATTACCAAGTTAATGTTACTTACGACGTTAATCAGGGGCCGACCGACTTAGAGGCAAAGGGGGTGCTGCCCCCTTGAAGGTTGGAGTTTCCCTTCATATATGCCCTTCAACTGCTTGATAAAATGCGTTAGAGAAAAGTTGCCCCTTTACAGTCTAGTCCTAATATTATTTACCTCTGGTTTGTTGTTAGTTGTGATTACAATTGTAGAAAGAAAAAATGAACCAAGTAAAAAACTATCCAAAAATGCAAAGTAAATGAAATGGTGATCTCAGAGAATAACAAAGCATTATCATTCTTGGATAGGATGCAATGATATCAAACATTGCTAGTATGTTCAAGATAAGTGTGTTTCTTCGTTAAGCATTCATATGAGAGCAGCCTTGGAACATGTTAGTTACCCATGCAAATGAGGAATTAACAAGTGTGTAGTATGCTTTTCCAAATGACTTCAGGCCTACCAAGACTCAATGAAAAGATGATATGTATGCTTTTCTAGTAAAAAAAAAAATTGTGCGCTACTCTTACTCACCCTCGTAATATTATTTCCTAGATTCGTGGCTGATTTTAATTTCCAGCAGGTGGGAGCCGGGAAGCCAAGAGATGAAAGCGCAAGTAGCCGTTACCTCATAACATTAACAGGGAGTGGGTTAATTAAGCAAAAGCCGCTTAATTACTTTGGAAGGTATGGGAAGGGAAGGGCAGACAATCCATCTCCAATTACTTGTTACAGAAATCCTCTACTGGTCTGAAAATGCTTTGTCTTCCCAATACGCTGCCCTCTCTCTCTCTCTCTCTCTCTCTCTCTCTCTCTCTCTCTCTCTCTCTACATATTTATATCTCTTCTTCTGACATGCCATTTCATTCCGACTCCTCCCAATCCAATCACCAAAACCAAATTTATGAGCTTGTTCTACGTCGCCATGACCAAACCCAACTTCTTCTTTCTCTTTCTTGCGTCTCTCCTCTTCTCGTCTCATCACTCCTCCTTCACCATTTGCAGTGCAGCAGTCGAGGACTCTGATGAAGTTGGTAATTATTCTCTCCCTCTTCCAACATTTCATTTTCTTTATTTTCCATTATATTTCCTGATTTTTTTTGTCAAACCGTTATGTTTCCTTATGAACACCACATTGTTTACGGTGTTTGTTATGCTTTCAACACACACACACACACACACTACACAAATTATATAAGAATATGCTGGAAATGGCAGCTCCATTTTCCTAAATATTGTGTTCTGTGAAGTCATAAGAAACCCAGGATCAAAAATCAAGACAAACAATTTGAAATTGAAGTCCTTCTAACAATATAAATCATTTTGATTCTGATTCTTGCATTAATCTAGGGATTTAATGCACCCACACCAACATTTTACCTTTCTTATTATTCCTTGACCTTTTGCTAGAGAGATTTACCTACACTCCCCTTACGTTATAGTGGCATCTAAATTAATAATACAATGTCATGTGAGAATTTTCAAACGCGTGACATTATTATTTTCTAAAGATGCCAAAATGACGTATCAAGAGTGAGAAAATTCAAATGCACGACAATTATCATCAACTCAACAACTTTGCTGAGTATAATTAGCTAATCAAGCTAACAATGCATGTTTAACACGTAGGACCAATTTTGAAATTATGCATGTGATTCAGATCTAGGTGATTTAAATTTTTGGGTACCCCGCTTTGGACTGACTTGTTGAAAGAAGCATTATATACTTGGTATTTTTATGGAATTAAGTTCAATTAGGTAGCAATGTCACGTGCTTGGACCGACATTTTTAGACCATATGAGTTCTTTTTGGTATTCTTGGGAATAGAGAAAGTATTACTTAGCTTCTTACTGTCTGCCATAGGTTGAATTATTCTTAGTGTCTTTCTAACTTTTTCTTTCTTCTCATTCAAGTCCTTGTTTTTAGTTTTAATGTACACCATCCAATCTTTTCTTTGTCTGAGAAAGAAAGTATCCTCTCTCTCTCTCTCTCTCTCTCTCTCTCTCTCTCTCACACACAGACGGTAAATATGGGTGGTACATTTAGACTTTGGTTATCTTATGAAAGTAGATTTGATTTCCACAATTAAATCTTCTATTTCAATCGTAACCCTTCATTTTCAGTATCACTCAATGCTACGTATTATTGAAGATATTTTCATGAAATAACGTGTAGATATAGGAAATAAGACGCTTGGATTACCGTACCTTGTGATGTAATTAACCTAGTTTTTCATATATGGGGCAGGTGATGAAACTCCATTTACTTATCTTGAAGGAACTGGTAAAGGACCAAAGAAATGGGGAGAAATTGACCCTCATTGGAAAGTTTGTGATACTGGAAAATTGCAGTCTCCAATCGATCTTCTTGACCAAAGGGTGCAGGTTTTCCCTCACTTGGGGAAATTGAAAAGGGGTTACAAACCAGCTCCTGCTACTGTGAAGAACCGAGGTCATGACATCACGGTGAGCTACACCGCTCCCAAGTGTCTACTCTTTCTATTCTCTTCCATATTTGTCTATCATATTGAACTTGAATCCAATCAGTTGAATATGTTAATATGTGACAGTTTTTAGTTGTTTTTAACATGAGGTTTTTATCAGATGAGGTGGAACGGAGATGCAGGAAAAATCAACATAAATGGGACTGATTATAGACTGTTACAATGTCATTGGCATTCACCCTCTGAACATACGTTTAATGGATCAAGGTTTTTTTTTTTTTTTTTTTTCCGGTTTTTCGCAATTTTTTTTCTGTGAAATATATAATCTCAAGTTGCAGCTACCATGCTAATTTATATTAGTATATAACCATTTCTAATTTCTGTCGATGTATTTCTTCCTCTAATTTTCTTCATAGGTATGCTTTGGAGTTTCATGTTGTCATTTAAGCTCTACCGGAAAGATTGCTGTAATTGGAATTGTGTACAAATATGGTCGACCTGATCCCCTCCTTTCAAAGGTATCTCTCTCTGTTTGCCTCTAAACCTTCATGAGTTTAAGGTAATGAACGTAAACTCAATGCAATAATGTAGAAAAACTGATTTATACTTGCGACACAAAACACGCTTTGCTCAACAAACCAATTATCATATCAGCTATACAAACTTAGCTAACTAATTAGGTGATACTGCCTGGATATGTAGATGCAGTGAAAAAACTTAAACAGACCCGTTGTATCATGCTGTGGGACGTTTTGGAGTTGAGAAAAACACTCGGTTATCATTTAACACGTATCAGAAAGAGTAGCATGTAATCCCATAGCATAATTTCCTGTTTTCTATGAGTAACCTCCATTTCTTTGCTAAACAATTGATTGGAAAAGGTATAAATTTTCTCATGAAGCGAAAATACAACAAGCTACGGGACTTTTGACTTTTAAGCTGCTATATCATTTCATACCTTAAATGCCAGACTGTTTCCTGGTTTATACACTTATTTATTTGTTATTTTGTTATCCATTCCGGCAGCTATTCCACCACATAAAATCGGTTGGGATAGAAGAGGAGGTTGACATAGGGATTATTAATCCCGGGGATATTAAGTTCGGAAGCAGAAAGTACTACAGATATATCGGTTCTCTTACCGTTCCTCCGTGCACTGAGGGTGTAATTTGGACAATCGTCAAAAAGGTTTTTCACTCCTTAACCCTTTTGCAATGACAGATTTTCACTCTACTCCAACAACCTGGTTGCCAACATTGTTCTTGTTATAGGTGAGGACAGTTTCAAGGGAGCAAGTGCATGCACTAAGGGAGGCTGTACATGATGTAAGTATATCTGAATTCGGAATATATATATCCCAATTGAAAACTGTAAACGCGAGAGACTGTTTACCTATCCGATGTGAGGTTGAGTACTTCGTTGTGGCATTGATGCAGAGACACTTTTTCCTCGTTCAATCTGCGTTGCGCAGTTCAAGTTTAACCGTGTGTGTCTCGTTTTCAGGGATTCGAGATGAATGCAAGGCCAACTCAAGAACTGGATGGAAGACCAGTGCTGTTATACACTCCAAGGGACATTGGAGGTTCTGCTTAATTAGTGTAAAAGTACATTAGAGAGGGATATGTGTGCTTTTTCTTCTTTACCCATATATATTGAAATTGAAGTTTAATAGTTTCGCACTTATTGAATGTTGGTTGTATGCATCATTTGTCACATCACGTGGTACACCAATATGATACAAAAAAATGTTGTCTCCCTACTCTATATTAAGATATATCTATTTGGATACTCTCATATACGTATTATTCTTCAACCCTAAATTAGGCCAAATTTTTTTGTGTTCCTTGTGGTGACACGACATTTCAATGTGACCCTCATGTTGAAACAGTTGTTAATTGTACCTCCTTGGTGAGTGCCGTTAGCAATTAAGGTCCAAACTAACTTTCATCAGCCCGTTAAATAAACCCACATGACTATCACGCATAGGGATTACATTTGTCATTTCATAGGGATTACATTTGTCATTTCAATCCAGATTAAGAAGGCCATGGACATCTAGTATGGAATTGGATTTCATGGAAAAGAAGCTTTGGACAAGGTGAAGCTAATCTTGGAAATCCACATCAATGGCTAGGAGACGAGATGAAGGTGAAGTCGCGCCTAATTTCTTAGGTATAGTTTCGTTTGAAAATACGGATGCTTGTGATAAACCATTGTTGTTTGCATTGCCTACCACATCTTCAATCAGGGGTTGAACTCATGTGCAAACAATATATATCCCAAGATAGGAAGAGGGTTGTCGCACCGAACACATCAGTCTCACTCCTCGTGTTTGCCAAGGACGCAGCCACAGGAGCTGTTTGATTTTGTTGCCCTGGGATCAATCGCTAGGTGGTGGAGGAGAAAGAGGTCGTCCTCCAAATTCCAAGGGATCCATCACCAAATCAAACGACAGATATCCATGGCTTTCTTAAGTTGGATATAAATGACACCATGTGATAGTCATGTGGTCTTATTTAACGGGAGATTAATGAAAGTTTAGGTTTGGACCTCAATTGCTAACGAGGCTCTCTATAAGGGTTTAGTTAACAACTTTTTCACCGCGGGGGTAATATTGAAAGTACCATATCACCACATAGATCACAAAAAAATTGGCCTATTAATTATATCTACTAACAAGGTAATCTAATCTTCTTTATTTTTTCGGTAACAAGGTAATCTAATCTTTATGTGTGTTTTAGCAAGGTAATATAATCTCGTAGTAGCAACTATTAAGATAATTTAAGGGATGTATGTGCTCTTCATTTTACCTTTTAGGTAGGTAGATTATAAGAGTTATTTGGAAGTACTTTTAAAATTGCTGAAAAAGATTTTGGTAAAAATGTTTTTGGAACCAATCTTTGATAAAAATGCAAGTGAATCTTGAAAGAGCACTTGAAGTGCTTTTGGACCCAAAAACATTTTCTCTAAAAGCAGTTTAAGTGTTTTTAAAAGCACTTCAAAAAAAGCCTTATATGTAACTTAAACTAGTTTTTATTTTATTTTATTTGGTGCATGTATTATAATAGCTACTGATCAATCCACGCAAATTCAAAGAACAAATTCATGTGAAATAAAAAAAATATTTGGTAGGTAGCAAAATGATCATTTAAAAACGCCAAAAAGTGAATCTAATCCGGTATATATGCAAAGTGTGGGACCATAATTTTCTTGAGCCAGAGTAAGACGAACAGGAATACAAATACTAAAAAAATCCAATCATGGAACCAACCGTTCTGAGTGGAGATGAATTTGGGGAAGGGAGATGAATTTGCGAACGACTTGTATAAAAACATTACACAAGCTACGGATCTGGATCTGATGTCCACCAAACTTCGACTTTTGCCAACACATGAAAGATCAAGTCACCCAAATAAAATTTGGTTTTGGACGCTTCATGGCTTTCCTTTTTGTTATTGAATTCATCCTAATATTAGCACGTCAATCCACACACGGCATAACCCACTTTGGAAGCATTTGACCCCAAAATATAATTTTCGCATTCACATTTTGTATTATCGTGCTGCCTGACTGATTAGAGTAACTCTCATACTGAGCGAGACGTGAGTTGGACTGCCGATTAGGCAGCTCTTATATCGGGTGAGATCACAGGTGGAACCAAAATGAAAGACTCATACTTTTGTAAGTACCATGCATAACAGAAAAGAAAATCACTACATATAAACTTTTATTTCCAACGCATTAACCTTTAATAGGAAAATGATGCAAAAACCAAACTCTGAAACCATTATTATATGAAAGCTAAAATACAGCTACAGCATCCACTCCACCAAGAAACAGGGGAAAAAAAAAAAGAGGTAGATATTACATTACCGTAAAAACCCGAATTCATAAAGCCTTTTAACAACGAACAACCTACGCAATGAGGAATGGCAGGACAGTCAACATGAACTCCTCATAATTGAAAGTTCCCATACCAGTGTACGCTTTGTCCTTCTCCTTAAACTTCTCAGTTAATCCCTGAAAGACACAAGAATAACAAAAGAAAACGCTCCATTAAGTATCAACAGTTTATCCGCTAACCTACATCTTGTACTCATCCAACAGCATAAAACTGCACACAGACACCCCTTTTTTTGAGCTAACTTGAGATAATGGAAGCCCTTTTTGTAAGGTATTAATGTTGTGAAAACTATGACTCAGTGATGAACAATGATTTTATGGTTTCCGTGCAAAGAAATTAAGCAAAGAATAAAGGGGTGTTTGTTCTCGTTTTGAATACACTTGCACATCGAGGCTTTTAAGATATGCTAAGATAGCAAAAACTTGTAAACAATGCTCAAATATCAAAAGTAGGAGTGAAATTTAAAGCACAGGACCAAGCAAAAGTTCTCCAATTAAAACTATAAATTAAGTGCACAAAATATAAGCTTTAGTGAAAATCAAACTCACCTTAACAGTCAGACAGCACCTGCATTTTACCAAAACAAACAAAAGAACAATGCATAATCAGATATCGTTAAGAAAACATAATACAAAATACACCAAACCGAAATGCAATAAGTATCTCCAACTCTAACGCATAAAGATTTAATCCTCAAACCAAACCCAGCAAAATATGACAGGAAAAAAAAAAAGTACAAGAAAACATACTCGATGAAATTGTCATATTCAATGGCCCTCTTTTTGCCTCCAGACTTGTCGAATTTAGAGACCAGCAGTTCCAAAACTACAGGTGACACAGAAAATCCCAGACTCAGCAGTGCATCTCTCAACTCATTTGCATCAATGAACCCACTTCTGTCCCGGTCAAACCTCTCAAATATTCCCTGATCAACCACAACGATTACAAAAGAGTTAATTTCCCACAAAAATTAAAAGAAAAAATCTTAGAAAACAAAAAGAAAAAGAAATAGAAGGGAATTCTGGGGATTACCCTCCAACTTTGAAGACTGTAGAACAGTGCAGCGAATTCCTTAGGCCCTGTTTTCACAATATACCCACACACAGAATAAATATCATTATTATCAACTGTTTCAGTGAATTAATAGTGAATTGAGCTACACTGAAAGCTACAAAGATATATTGTAGCAAATTAGCAATGGTGATGATTTCAAAAGCACGAAAACAGGAGAGCAACTTGCATGTAGAAAAATGAACTGAGACGCCACGGTGAAACTCTTTCCATCTAAGTAATTCTAATTCTCCATGTGTTCCCGGTCCAAGAATAAATGTCATTCCATGTAGAAAAATGGACCGAGACGCCATGATGACGGTCAACACTTTAAGTAATTCTAATTCTCCAAACACAGGAAAAAGTTCTGCATCAATACATTGGATCCCTCCCGCTTAGCATAACGCGTAATGCCATCAATATCTAACGGTCCACTGACCACGACTACCACACTCGGAATCACACGGTGGGCCCCGGCGTTTCGACTCTATCCGTTAGGCCCCGGTGTTTGACTTAATTATACAACGCGGGCACGCAAATAGAGACTGAGGGCATGACGGACATTACGCAACATGATTCTAACAGCGACTCAGTGCTCACCCCAGACGACACCGTTTGTGCGCCGATCAAAATCGCAGAATTAGGGCATACATTCCCAAATTGGACGAGAAAATTACACAGATAGGAGTGCATGGAGTGTTAGGGTTTGAAAATTGTTACCGATCTTCCTGGCGTTGGTCTGGGTGAAGGTGTACATGAGAAGATGAACAGTCCTCAAGCTGAAGCTTTCATTGTACGACGACAGAGCTCTCTGCATCTCCTTGTCGTCGATGAAGCCGCTGCCGTCCTGATCCGCCAGCTGAAAGCAAGCTATGACGTTCGGGTCTGTGCCCGGCGGGAACACCGACGGCAACAAAGCCGCAAACGGGCTCCCGTAACCATGAGCAGGTGGCGGGTATCCGCCTCCGCCTCCTCCGCCTTGATTCGGGTATCCGCCTCCGCCTCCTCCACCTTGATTCGGGTATCCGCCTCCGCCTCCGCCTCCTCCACCTTGATTCGGGTATCCGCCTCCGCCTCCGCCTCCTCCGCCTTGATTCTTGTGAGGCTTGTCTGGATTGTAAGGCTTCTCTGGCGCGTAAGGCGCGCCGTACGGTGCTGCCGGAGCACCGTACGGTGCGGAGGATGGAGCGCCGTACGGTGCAGACGGAGCACTGTAGGGTTGGGCTGTCTGGTGCTGCCCTTGCGGCGTTGCGCCGTAGGGTTGACCTTGGGGCGGCGCACCGTAGGGCTGGCCTTGAGGCGGCGCGCCGTAAGGTTGGCCTGGTGGTGGAGCGCTGCCGTAGCCGTAGCCGGAAGGAGGGTGTGGGTAGCCTGACATTTTCTTTTGTCCTCGAGGAAGGTCTGAAAATGGGAGTGTTTGCAGATTTTTGAGACCGATGGGAATGGATGTATATAAAGGATTCAAGTTTCAAGATCGGACCTGGAACGGCAAGGTAATTACATCGTTGCCATTGGATTCCAAATTTTAACATTTTCTCTTCTAGTGTACTTAGAGCAAGTTCACCCATCCCTAAGAACTTTGCGCCAGTACCCAGCGCATTTATCCACTCAGATGAACAGTAATATACTGGAGTAAACAGTAATAGGCCAAGGGATCTCCACCCCTATAAAAATGTGCTGGCACCCAGCGCATTTATTTGATGTTTTTTTTAAAGTTAATTTCGGATAAGATTTTTAACCAATTTCGAATAAAATTTCAAATAAACTTAAAAAAAAATACACACTAAAATAAAATTACATACTCATCAAATAAACTTAAAAAAAACACACTAAAATAAAATTACATAAACTCATCAAATAAACTATAAAAAAAAAAACACACTAAAATGAAATTACATAAACTCATCAAATACACTTTATTCTTCAACCACAAACTTTATTATTATTTTTTTATTTTTGGTGAAAAAAACATGGACCGTTGATCTGTGATCGAACGGTCCATTTTAAAAGTCAAATTTAAATTTTTTTTACCGTTGGAAATTCAACGGTCTACAAAAAAATAGCCGTTGGAAATCCAACGGTTAAAAGTGGGCCACATCACCTACTCGGGTTGTGGCCCGAGTCTCGCGGGCCCCGCATCTGAAATGTTGTCGGGCACTCGTGCCACGAGCCCCGTGACATGCACGCGCCAGCAAACTGCCCGACTTCTTGGTTAGTCTGTTTTGGGCTGGCCCTGAGACCAGCATGGGCTGGGTGCCAGGCTGTTTTGCGGGCTGGAGGAAATGGACAAGGTGCTGGGCTGTTTTTTGGATTGGGTGTTGGGCAATGTTTGCTCCGGTGGACTTGCTCTTAAAATACATGTCCTTTGTGAAAATAAATGGGAGAGTCCACTTTATTTATTACTGATTTCATTTTCTTTTCTAACATGAAAAAAAAATTACATAGTATATTATTTTTATATTAAAACCATAGATATAAAAAAGGACAGGTATTCCAAGTATAAGCCCATCTCAACTAGTTGGTGGACGGCAATGACAATTACTGAGTAACGGCAATAAATTGCCCTCACTATTCATTCTAAACAATAATTACCTTGGTGCAAGTCAACCTGTTTGGAAGGAGAAAGGGCAAGAGCAATTACTATTCACAAACACTTTTTTTTATTCTTATATTTCTTTAATCTTTTCTTTGTCTTATCCCACATATCATTATTGCCGTAGATTTTTGGGTACTTTTAAACGTTAGTTTGCAAGTGTGTTGAACTTTGGAAGATTTTTAAAGTGAGAATAATGTAAGTTTATTTAATTTTTCTAAATAATTTTTATGATTTTTTTTTAATTTTTTAGAGTTGGATTAATCCTAGTCGTTGAATGAATTTTTATTTATTTTTATTTTTATTTTTTAATCAAAGGCTTACAAAGACCCATGCGGTGTGGGTGGGGAAGTGGGAGAGCTGGTGAACAGCTCACGTGTTGGAATAACTCTGGGCTTCACGTGGCCCCCCTGGTCTGTTAGGCTTCAAGTAGGGCGCAAGCCCTTGCAATTGTTGAAGGGGCAGCTGCTTTCAACCAATTGCCTCCCATTTTGTCGACTGCTGGAGGAGTTGTTTTTTGGGGTGAAAGGCAACTCAACCCAATTGCCCTTGCAATTGGGTGACTAGTGGAGATGCTCTAACTTACTTAGAAAAATTACATAACCAAATACAAGCGTGATTATATTTAGGGTTCTTTATATAAAAGCACATGCAACACTTATTTTCTTAACAAAAACCCATCTCATTTTGAACATTAAAATAAAACCCAAATTTGAAATAGACTGCCATGGAAAATAAGTGCCTTATTATATACTTGTCTTACCATCAAATGTTCCATTTCTTTTATATGTTTGACAATCATTGTAGGTAAATTATTTTGCATGTATGTACCGGGCACATTTGTAATTATTATATATGTGTGTGCAAATAATTTATCTACATTTGTATGTAAAATATAGGTAATTAATTAATTTTTTTATCAATTGGCTAAAAACATTATTTTATTTTGTAGGTAAATTATTTTGCATGTATGATTACATATCCTGGGCACATTTTGTTATTGTTATTTGGTGTGTGCAATCAATCAACATTCCTTTTTTTTTTTGTAAGTAAATTATTTTGCATACATTATTACCAAGGTTCTAAAAGACGCTAGCCGCTAGTTGGGCGGCGGGCTGGAGCCTATCGCCTAGGCGAACTAGGTGGATTTAAGTAAATCTATTATATTTCGTGTAAATAAGTGTGTTTATACTTCAAATATCTATAATTTCATCATAAACTACTACATAGAATGATATATATATATATAATATATATATATATATATATATATATATATTATGGAGTACTAGAACATAATAAAAACATGAAGAATAAGCATATAATGTGTATTTGTTTAAGTATTCAACAAGTTTTTTTACAATTTATTGAAAAAAAATAAAATGCAAAATGAAAGTTATCTATTTTCTGTCTAAGTGAGTCGCAACCTATGCGAGTGCTTAGTGGGTCTGTGCGGGTTAGGCGGGCCCCTTAGCAAGTCTAGGTGCCATTCTTAATTTTCAAACACCTAGGCATTAATCGGGACGGTGAAGATTTTTAGAACAGTGTTTATTACATATGTTAGGCACGTTTTTTTATGTTATTATGTATATGCGTGTGCAAATAATTTTCCAAAATATACGTATTTAATTAATTTTGAATTAAACAATAATTATTTATTTTGTAGGTAAGATGTAACATCTCACATTGACCAACGGATAGGCGGTGATGTGCCTTATATGTACATGCTCCCCTCCGTATAGCGCGATGCCTTTTGGGGACTCACTAGCTTCAGATTCCATTGGAACTCCGAAGTTAAGTGAGTTCGGGCGAGAGCATTCTCAGGATAGGTGACCCACTGGGAAGTTGCTCATTAGTTCCCATAAACAAAACCATGAGGGAATGATAAGCCCAAAACGGACAATATCATGCTACGGCGGAGACGAGTCTGAGATGTGACATAATGGTATCAGAGCCATTTTGCGTTCGATGCAAGTGTGCCGACGAAGACGTTGGGCCCTTAAGGGGGGTGGATTGTAACATCCCACATCGACCAACGGAGAAGGGGTGATGTGCCTTATATGTACATGCTCCCCTCCCTATAGCACGATGCCTTTTGGGAACTCACTAGCTTCATATTCTATCGTAACTCCGAAGTTAAGCGCGTTTGGTCGAGAGCATTCTCAGTATGGGTGACCCACTGGGAAGTTCTCCTGTGAGTTCCCAGAAACAAAACCCTGAGGGCGTGGCCGGGGCTCAAAGCGGACAATATCGTGCTACGGCGGAGCCGGTCTGGGATGTGACATAAGGTATTGGTAATTTTGAACAAAATAAGTTTTTTTTTATTTGTAGGATATACTAATTTACCTATTAGCATCATTTGAAACGGAACGAAAAAATGCTCAATTTTACACAAATGTGAAAACAACTATATAAGGAACAAAACTTTAATACCAGGTAATTTGTTATTAATATGCATGGAAATCATGTTTGAAAATTTCTTTTCCAGATCAGCGTAAGCTATTTGAAATGAATCAAATAATCTAATGTAGATAACAAGTAACATATCCAAAGTCAAAGTTATTGGGAGTAATTTAGACATCCAAAAATACAAATTTTTCCAAGTCAAATTTAATTAGGCTTTTTATATTAGCACCCCACATTAAAATTTAACATGAAATGATTTATGTGCCCTATTATGTAATGACAATTTCGACCTTATTAGGTTTAGAAAAAAACAAGAAATTTCTAAAAACACCCTAAATCACTTTTAAGGTATTATTTACCTTCTTCACTATCAAAACCCCTCGCTCTCCATTGCTGAACAAAATCTTAACCAAGCTATAAGCATTGTTTAGGCTATCTGCGTTATTTTATTCCCTAATTTTGATTTCAAAGGAGACTAGTCCCAAATATCACTATACTACCCAAGCCCTATTATTGATTGATTTAAGCCTAATATTTATTTACAATTCCCAAAAAACTATATTACCTAAATGCTTCTCTCTTAGGAACTTCTCTAATAATATGCATTTTTTTTCTTTGTGCTATAAGTTTAACCTCTAACCATGTAACAATTCTTCGGTCCTTTTAGTAATTGGTGTCTCACTGTTTTCAGTGGTGAATTACTGCAATATAACTCATTCAATTTAAGGGTGAATTATTGCAATTACCTATTCCATTCAATTGGCACCTCTCAAGTGTCTGTTTCCTTCTCTCCACATCAAGCACGCAGGAAGTTAGGGTTTTTCCTTCAAAAAAAGATTTGAAGAATGTGGGGTGCATAGAAAACGTGCGGTGTATGTAGAAAATGTAAGGTGATGTTAAGAATGTGGGGTGTGAGGATATTATGGGGAAATATGTGGGGTGTATTAATATCATTTTTAATTAAAAAAACAAATGTGGGGTGTATTAAGTATGTGGAGTTTATTCAACAATATGTGGGGTGTTAATATAATAAGTCATTAAATTATGGATAAAGCTTAGTTGAAGCTTTGTCATTGGGTTTTTGTTAGATAAATTTATCATGGTGGGTTTTAGTTAAAGAATTGAATTTCAAGGTGTATACTCATGTTTTCAGTTATATTTATGTTCAAGTTTGCAAGCCTGTGTATATTTAGAACCGCAAAATTCCCCTAAAAAGTGACTTATAACGAAAAAAGTGTCCGATTAGTCTTAAGCCATTTCAAAACATGCTATTTTTTTTCTAAGACGGGACGCTAAGGTCTAACATACCCTCAATAAATCTTACACCAAGCCCAATTTTTTATTTAATTTTCAACAAAATAAGCATTTTATTGACGCGTTTGGTAGAATGAATTATTTTTATTTGCAAAATCTTAAACGTGAGATTAAATGGATAAG